TTTTTAGTGCTTCGATTTCATTTTTTTTTTTTGCTATGCACTGATTATTGTCTGTTGTTTTATCGCCGCCCTTTTTATAGCCATTCATTCAACTGATAAAAGTCACAGTGTTTTTCGGAAATACCAAGCTTTATGTTTTCAAAAAAAAAGAATTAAATTTTTTGGCATTTTTTTTTAATTTATAAAATCTACTTTTGCAGTTGTTTCGGACACAGTGCTTCGTAATGCAGCTGGTGAGGAGCTATCGCCAATTCCGTTCGGTGGAATCTATTTGCCGTTGGAATGCCCATCGGCTCAGTGTCATCGTTCGCCGCTTGTGCTCTGTTATGATTCTGCGCATTTCTCGGCACTGGTCACTATGCGCCATACGCCGAATAATACACTGCAACGTATTGTTTCATGATTTTCGTAATTTTCAGGGCATCCTTTCCAATGGGAGATTACTTTGGTGGTCACTTTTGTCTTTTACGGAGAGTTTTTCAGTGGGAATTAATATCCATTTTTTTCTTTTTTGCTTAGGATTCCTCGGCCATAGCAAAAGGGAGGCAAAGCAGCACGCGTTTATTATTGTATTTCAGCTATTATTCCGATTACGGATAGGAACCGAAATCTCCTTCCGTTGCATTTCTCGGTCGATCCAGGACCTGATTTTACATGGTATGTATTTTCTTAGCACAAAAAGTGCACCGGCAAATTGCAGATATTTTGTTTTTGTTGTAAAAATCCTTTTTTTTTTTTGGTCTACTTCCTCTCCATTTTTGTGTTTTTCGTGCTGGAATTAATTCAGCTAGATGTATTAAACATAGTGGAAAATATCACGCTATCGATTGTTGGTGTAGATGAAAAATGAGAGAAAGAGATGAAAATTTTGAATAATTCTGCTATCAGTTTTGAAAATTTAGGTGGAAGGACTCGGAAGATGCTGAAATTGCGGCGCGTATTGAACTCACAGAATCGGATAAACTTTCACTTATCTGTGAATATATGGACATCATCAAAATTGAGGTAAGTAACTGCATAAAAAGTTGGTGGCGACTTTTCCTGAATATTAGAAACATGCACGAAGCTCTCTCTCTGCTCAGCACTGTGGAGTTCGTTTTTCTGCCTCTGTCTTTTTGGAGTGAGCTTCTGCAACTATCCTTTTTCTTCGCAGCCTTAACTACTTTGAATTAAGTGCTTTTGCGACTTGGAATTTAGGAAAAAAATTAAAAATTTAAAAATTTTTTATTTAGGTCCGACGCTGCTCATTTCGACGTAATTTGGCTGGTGTTGCCTACGGAGATGAAAGCAGGAAGTCTGTCACTCTACCATACGGAGATTCGTTCGCTACAAAAGATTATTCGGCTCGCCTACTGAGCGATTTGGCGCAACAGATTATGAAACGATTTAAAATAAAACGCAAGAAAAAGGTTCACACACACAGACTGTTCAGCAAAAATATCTGATTTTTCTTTTGCAGTTTTTATTTCCGTTCTTGGATGCCGTAAATATATGTAATTATACATATATATGTATTTATGTATGTACGTATGTGTGTATGTATGTGTGTGTGTATGTGTGTGCGTGTGTGTGTGTTAACTCCGGTTTTCCACATTGAGAGCCCGGTATTTCTGGTGATTCTTAGATGCGACTATTTCAGAATACTTGTGAAGGTGCCAGTGAGCAAGTGAGGGTTTCGGATTTGCACAGTGCAAATCGTGTTGTCGCCGCGCAGCTTCATTCACATGCACATGAATATATGGATCATATGGTGGAGAGTTACCTGTGCTCAGCGCGCGAACGTTTCGAACAGTCAAAAAATGTTGCTTTTCATCTCTGTTTTTACTGTTTCTTTCTTTTTATCATTCACTGGCACTCAAAAAAAATGCAAAAATTGGTTCTGAAATGAGGTTGATTGCAAGCTGAGCCTATGTGCTGTAGTAAAGCAGTGCCTTAATTCACTCTCTGCTACCACCGCTATTCACGCTGACGGAGGAGGGAACCACTAACAGTTTTTACCAGCGAGTGGTCGCTTTTTGCCAAGGTGCCATTATTTGGTAATTTCTAAATGTTCTCGTCCTCTAGTTGTTGTCAGATAGCTAAAAAAAAATCGGAAGCGAATGGGAAGAGCAGATGAGGACACTGTACCATTTTTGACAAAAGAAAAGTGACTGGTCACAGAAAATTTACTGGCCGAGTTCGAGGCGTTCTTCTTCCAATAACACCCCTAACGAGGGATACCCACTCCGATTCGTCTCATGATCTCATTGGCTTAGCGATTTTAGCAGCTTCTTTTGGAGAGAATTTTTCTGCTGTTCGTGAAAATTTCGTTTTTTTGCCTCACAAATTGCGGCTTTTTTTTTGCAGACGCCAGGAATGACCTCTCGTCAACGTGCCAGATTGTCGCATTCGTTCAGTACTTCTTCATTGTCGATAACATGTATCAATAATCACTGCCAGAAGGTTAATATATAATTTTTAATATTTCTTAGTAATTGCTAAGTTGTGACAATTACGAATTTTCTGTTTTTGGTCACTATTCCACAAATTAGTGCTATTTTTTCGCTATAAATGGCAACGAATGGAAGCTGGGGGTGACCTTTCAATAGTAATTTTAAGAGGAATACTGTTGGTTTTATTCAAAAAATTACATCTCAGGGATATCAGTCTTCACGTGATGAGCATTTCAAAAAATGATATTTAGGGGATAGCAAAGCGCATTTTAAAGAAGTCTGTTTCATTAGTTACAGTCATTCAGTTGTCAAGTATCTTACTCAAATAGTAAAATCGAGAAAAGTGAGTGTATTAAAGAAGGAGAAGGAGGTAGGGGGAGGGGAAAGGAATAAATAGAAAATAAGATTTCTCTCAAAAAGAATTT